ATTTTTTCTTCTACTAATAGGAAAGCAAGACGCCGAATAGCTATAATTATTAAATGTTTGTGTATTCGTTAGGTAGAACGAAAGAAATCATATGTATAGAGTAAATAAGAGTTGATTGCACTCGTTACAGAAAAATTGTCCAGAACCATTATTCTTAATAATGCTAAATCATTTCAAAAACCGTATCTAAATTTTTATGCGTAGTTTCATGATATGGAGTTCATAATACAAAGTTCATGGTTCAAAATACAGTAGTATTATTTGAATCTTGCAACTGTACATATCTACTTTTTTACTTAACATTTATAGTGAATAAGAGGCGAATAATAGATATTTGCTTTTCTATTACAATAATATTTATGATGATTAGAAAGTTCAATTTTGTTGTCCTAGAATTTTACAATAATAATTCATTCATCAAGAAGTTGATCTCGTTTCTTGAAAAAAAAAAACTACATTAAATTTTTTTTAAAGAATACAATCGGAAATGTCAATCATTTTTTAATATATGTTTTATTCAAAATACAAAATATGACAGTTCATTATATATTATGACATCAAATATCCTTAAAAAATATCTTTATATAAGTCATATTTTATTTACTCTAAGATTAGAGATTTAAACTCTTAAAAAAAAAAGAAGATTCTGAAATCATCATCTCTTTCTTTTTCTAGGAACCATCAATGTCTACCCAACCAAAATATCCATTTCATGTTTTACTTCGTAAAACTGGTCAAGATTTAAGTACTGGACAAACATTAACAAAACGTCGAACAATAAATGAAACAAAACAAATTGATTTTCGTAGTGTATTGAAATCTCGACATACATTAAATGGTACAACGGATAATGATGTTATCATTAGATCGAACAGTTTATCGCAACATATAAGTATGGATAGTCGAATACGAATGAATGATCTTTAAAAGAGAACAATAAAAAAAACACAAAATATTCTTGATGATTAACATAGGTCCGGTGTGAACATATTATTCATTGAGAATAGAATGTCTTTTATTAATAATAAACATGTATATCCATTTGAAGCTGTTATCTTTGTTCTAATTATTTCTTCTGTTTTGTTTTTGTTATTAGTCTTAATTCATTATGACATTCATATTTAATAAAATTTTTGTTTTTTTGTTCTGAATATAATTTGTCAAACTGCACTTGTTGGCCTCACATCATAAATTTAATAAATAGATAGAAATAAAAACGGATGTTTTCAATCTATCCATTTGCTAGGAGAAATCTGATTTATATGATACTTGTCATTACAGATGCAGACGATCACTTTTTGACAAAGACACTAATATATTCTTATCTATCATGAGAATATTGCAGACTCTCTATGTATCTTCACATGCATATATACATCTGTATCTCTATTAGTTAAATGCTTTGATACATATTATACATCATATCCATATGACAATAATAATTCATCTTTACACGAGTAAGAATTATTGTCAGAATAATTCATATAATACAAATGAATAGAGATATACAATTATTTATTCTATTTTTTTCCTTTTACATATATATATATACAAATGGAAAATAATTGAATGTGTATGATTAGTACATACGTGTGCACGTAATACAAGACCATTTAGTTTTGTATTTATCGTTTTTTTTTTCTTATAGTTGTCGCCAAGTACATTTTGTATCTCTTTGCTTTCCGGTTATTTCGCTCTTCATTTCTCCCTTTCTCCGGGTGAAGAAGAGCAGAAGACATCGTCTCGGAAAGGCAAGCAAGCATAGCATCAAAACGAGAGAACATTAGAGTTCGTCAACACTTAAGTTATTGTTATTTTTTTTTCTCTTCAAAAACGAGAAGCAACGATATATTGAACAAGAAGAGTAAAACAAAATTAGTTGAACAACGATTTGTAATAAAATATACAAACATGGAACATTTATTTCTTGTGTCATACAATCGATCCATAGTATTATTATTATACATAATGATTATATACACTGCATTACTCGGTAGGTAGATATATATATTTAAAAATAAGTGTACTTAGCAAGATTTATAGTTGTCACAGTCTCATTTTATGTTTATACATTCATGACTATGAGAATATCTTTTCATAACAGGAATTCATCTATTTTTAACAATAGTCTTGATTAAAATCCTGACAATTAGTTCTTTTCAAGACATATGACCACATATTCTTAATATGAATTCACTTGTTATTTCGATGATGTTTGAAATGAATATTTGTCATAGTTTTATCCGCCTACTGTGTAATATCGTCAGTTGTTACTATAGCCTGAAGGGTAAATCGCTATATTTGTCATTCAAAACTGTATCAAGGATTGATAAGAAGAGATCAAACAGCTGCATATACATATCATTAGTTTTAGGTTATTCCCTTTTTTTTTTATTTTTATTATCATTCTAAAAGTAATAATAATAATAATAATAATAATATTTACTGTTTTTGTTTTTTCAGCCGATGTGAGTAAATGTCAAGATTTTCGATCACCATTTGGTGCTCTTATCGATTGTGATAATCAAATTCATGTTAATTGTTCAGATGAACAACGTCTTTTATTTTTTTTAATGCGGTAAAATATAATATATTGTAAAATTTATTACTTTGTTGTTAATTTCTTCTTTAATTCTATAATGTATAGTAATTATTCAAATAATGTTCGACCTGTACGAAATGCTAGTCTAGCAGTACCAGTTAAATTAGGTTTAACACTAACACAAATATTTGATATGGTTAGTATAATTGATTTTAGACAATCAAAGAAAAAAAAAATTTATTTTATTTATAATTTTTAGATTGAGAAAAATCAAATATTAATTTCAAATGTATGGTTAGATCAAGAATGGTATAAATATTTAAGATAAATTTATTATTTGTCATAATCTATATTTTTCTTATCTAGGTCTGATGAATTTCTTCAATGGAATCCAGCTGATTTTAATGGTATTCGTCGTCTTAATCTTCCATCAAAACTCATTTGGTTACCTGATATTGTTCTATATAATGTAAGATAAGAAAGTTTCTTTGAAAAATTATTTCGATGACAAAAATATTCTAGAATGCTGATGAATTTTCCAATAGTAATACAATGCAAGCAAATGCTATGCTTATTCATAATGGTAGTGTATTTTGGCCAATACCAACACGATTAAAGAGTACATGTCAAATTGATGTAACCTATTTTCCATATGATGAACAAGAATGTAAATTAAAATTTGGTAGTTGGACCTATAATGGTTATCAAGTATCAATTGAACAACGTTTTCATGCTATTGAATTATCAAATTATGTTCCAAATGGTGAATGGGATTTAGTTGATACATCATATCAAGTAAATATTGTAAGATATGCATGTTGTCCAGAACCATTTCCAGATATAACATTTTATGTTCGTATACGACGACGTATTCTATATTATTTATATTCAGTTGTTTTTCCTTGTGTTATGTTATCTATTTTAACGTTACTTGTTTTTTGTTTACCACCAGAATCAGGTGAAAAAATTGCACTTGGTATAACAGTATTACTTGCATTTAGTGTATTTATGTTAGCTATTGCTGAAAGTATGCCAGAAACAAGTGAACACATTCCCTTAATAAGTGAGTTGAAGAATTTTGAGATTTTAAGTTTTTTTTTCTAAATTTTATTTAAGGTTTATATTTAACTGCTGTTATGGCTATGACAAGTGTATCAGTAATGATGACAGTCTTAGTTCTTAATCTTCATTATCGTGGTCCGAAAAAAAATGAAATACCATTTTGGCTTCAACAATTATTAAGTATATCAGTAGCAAATGTTGTTCGAACAATGGGAAGATCAAAACGATTTAAAATATATAAAAATAAAGGAGAATTACGACCTAGAATAAATTTTTTTGATAAAAATCAAAATCAAAATCAAAATACAAAAAATTATTCAACAGCTAACGGAATTTTATTATCTTATATGAATACTAATGAAACTAATATTAAAACACCAACCATAACAACTGAGGTTAGTAAATCTTATAGAATAATTTCTTAAAAAACAAACAATAAAAGAAATATTTTATGTTTTGAACTTTAAAAAATATAATTTTAAATAAAATTTATTTGATAAATAGTTTTTTTTTAATTATTTAACTACATTCATTAAAATATTTTCATATAATGCTTATAAGAAAAACTTCATAGTGTATTAAAACATAGAAAGATATATTTTTATATATTATCTTTTCTATTATTATACGAAGACGATGTATGTAATTATATATATGTCGTATTAACATTTTGTTCTTCATAATTTACTTTTAATGAAAGAAAAATTATTTTATAGTACAAAAACCTTATTCTATCGGAAAAGAAAAAAATATTCTCCAGAGATAAGCGAAATATTATTTAATTTTAGATAAGTCACATAATTGAAAATAGAAATTTTTTTTTGCATAGATAAAAATCAAGAAAAAAGAATATCTTTAAAAATATTTCTATTTTAAAGGCAAATTCAATCGAAATTGATAATGATGATATACAAGAACAACAAAAATTATTACAACAACAGCAACAACAACAGTTATTAGAAGAAACTAAACGTAAACGTTCAACACGTTTATTTCCTGAAGAAATTCATCTAAAAGATCGATCAATGTCACGTTCAAGTTCAGTTGCAACAATACATGATGAAATTCAAGATACATTACATATTCTATTACATAAACAAAAAGAACTTGAACATGATCAAAAAATAACAAATGATTGGCGTGTTATAGCAACAAAAATTGATAAAATTCTTTTTTGTATTTTTCTTCTTTTAACAATTATATCAACATTAGGTCTTCTTGTTGTTGTACCACTTTTTCGTACTACTGTACAACAAAAAACCAAACTATGGCGTGGTACACGACGTCCATAATAAAAAAACAATATATATATATATTTGTATACATTTACGTATTTGTTTGTGTGTATTTTTAAAAACAATAATAATAATAATAATAATAACTATTTTGTTTTTCTTTAATATTGTTGTGCATGTTCAACTAAATTTGATTGATATCCACATTTTGGACATTCAATAATATTTTCTTGTGGCATATAAGATGAAACATGTTTACAATTTGGACATACTTTTTGTGCACCATTATATGCATATGTTGAAGACACAAGACGTACTTGTTCATTTATATTAGATCGATTATTACTGATAGTTGATACTGATCCAGATTGACGTGAACGTGAAAAGTTTGTTAATGTTTTATTACTAATACCGCTTGATACAGGTAAAGAATGAACTATAGGATGAATACGCGATATTTTGTTATAACATTTTATAAAAAGAATTATATAGATTATTGAAAGTATAGTATAAATAATTGAAAAAACAAGTTCACATACAATAAAAACTTGTTTAATAGTAGTGTAAGTTGACGATGAATGCGATGACGATGATGTTTGAAAACATTGAAATCCCAAACATAATGTAAAATTAGTAGCAATAAAAGTTATTAAAAAACCTATGACAACAAGCATGACTAACATTGATATTATTTGAAGAATCAATGCAACGATTGCTTTTGTTTGTGTCTTTGTTGCACAAACTAAATTACCAATCATATTTTGTGATCAAAGAATTCATTTATCTTACCACATGCATATGTAGCAATTGTTGCTGAAATCATAAATGGAAACGACCAAAAACCTGAATAAACATTAGCTCTAAATAAGTCTACGACTGCATTACCAATTTCCATACTAATAGTTGTAAATGCCATAATTAATTGAAATGTAGCTAATATTCCTATGGGCCATGGATGCCAATATTTTTCCCAATATAGCGACAAAGGTATACGATACATTTTTGTTTTTACATTCATTGCATTCATATTTGTTCTTGTTAAACTGTTAGAAGAAAAATTATTTTGACTACTTTATAGTTCGTGCAGCATTAAAAAAACAATCGATACTTTATTTGCATCAAAGTAATCTTTCAGATTACTTAATACCTTCTATTTTCCCTTTTTTCTTTCTCTTTAAAATATAAACATTTTTCTTATTCTGTATTCATTTTTTATATTGATTCAAACTTGAATATTCATCATAATGCTAACACTTATGTAGCAACCGTGTATTTTTTCTTCTTATATGAGAGCTTCATAATTTAAGATAATTAGACATACATTGTTTATTTAATTCACTCTCATTTTTTTTGTCTGCTGAAAAATTACTTTAGATCCTGATTTAACTATACGAGTGATTATTGAATACAACGAAAATAATATATATATACTCTGACGAAAGATTCTAACAAACTCAACCACCTATTGATGCACAACAAACATAACAAACGTTATTGTGTGTGTCAAGAAAGAAAAATGCATGTTAAATATTTTCTGTCAAGTATTGCACTTAATAAAAAAACAAATTGAGCAAGGTTGAATAAATCACTAACTTGCGTTGGTGACGTGTCGTATTCAAATTCTGATGACAACATTTTATATTCAAGAAATCTACCAAATGATTAAATAAATACTAGTAAAAACTAATGAATAAGTTGCCAAGTTAGACATCATTATAGACTTTATCTAAATTAATAGCTGTGTGAAGTATTGTATTGAAACTCAAAATGAAGATAATAAGCACGTATATTATGGTTAGTGTCATATCTATTTTTCTAAATATATACATCGCACATTGTCCTTTTGTGTTATGATCATCTTGACAATCAAACATTGGAACAATATTTGATGAAACGCGAGATGCAAATAATCGATATTGAATTGATGGCAATCATTGTTTAACACACAGTAGAATGTTTTGTTTATTTATATAGAAAACTCGTCCTTCTTTTTACTTTTAACATTTAAGAGAATTAAAACACAAAGCAGTCTACAAAATGAGATGCTATTCTCGTTTTTTTCTTTTAACTTGCGCGATAATTAAACTAAATGAAAACAGTTATAGATTCAGTTGTAAGAATAACAGATGCTACTCCATGAATAAAATAAATAATCAATTGATCAACACATTTTATATTTATACAAAGAGTTAGAAAGAGAAGATCCGTCAACATAGGAACATTTTTCATTTCAATGCATCAATTATTTATAATTGTCGAGTAGAAAGTAAGTGAGTATAATCTTAATAACTCGATAATAATAGCAATTAGCGATCTGTGGTTTTCAGCATTCAAAATAGAAGGATTCCAGATGTCTTTTTGTTTGATACCATATAAGACAAAATTATTTTAAAACTCATCAACTTTTCGAAACATTCAAAAAACATGCATAAAAACAGTACTTCGTTTCAAAGAGATTTTAATAAAAAGTTAGCTAATTTTCTGACAATCAACAGAATTCTATAAGATTTCACTGAATAGATACATTATTTTGTTTGCCTAATATTGAGACATCGAAAAGGAATATTATATTCGTGGATTTTATTTTTGAATGTTTTGCTGAGATTATGAGTTTTAAAATAATTTTGTTCTACATAGCATCAACTAAAAATGTGTCTAGGATTCTCCTCTTTGAATTGCTGAAGATGGAGGATGGATAACTATTGCTCTTATCGAGTTATTGAGTTTACAGCCATCTCTCATTAATTCTGACACTAACAGTAGTTAAACTTTTATAATTAAAGAAAAAAAAAAAGCATAAATATGCTTTGATTAAGCTAAACAATAAATTTTGATTTATTTCATTGATGAACTAAACGACTTCAATAAAGAGTAACTGACATTCTATATATATATATATATATATGACAAGATTAATCATTTTATTTACTTCATAAGTATAATGAATAGAAAAGATTAAAAAAAACTTGTCCCTCGATTATTAATATTATATGCACGGCACATTATTTTAGAATCTAGTTGATATGGAAGTATTCTTTTGAAACTTTGAAATCAGAAGAATACATCAGTAATAGATTTGTTAAGTTAATGATTTGCGAAAATCTCGTCAATACATATAAATAAGAAAACTTCCCTATTGATATTTTGATAAAAGGATTGTTTTAGTCTATGTTCAATGATTCTATGCAAAGATAAATACACTATTCATAAGTAATAAATTAATCGCTTCATTCTTTTTCTGGTGAATTAAACATTTAGATCAACAATTTATTTTATGATGTGGACATCGAACCATTGGTCTGATTGCAATAATTAGTAAATAGTTTGCGTTTTGTTCAATTGACATGAGAAGAAGTTCGGGAAAAAAATGTTTATTTGAGGAAGGGTTACCATTTGTTACAGATTCTGCTATCCAGAATCAATTGCTTAAATAAATCCACATTTGTGGATAAGTAAACACTTAGTCTATTTTGGTGACCAAGTAGAAATTTTAATTTATGGATCTTTTCATTGTAAGATATACTATACATCATCTCAAGTCTCTTATCATATTGTATCGTTCTGGTGACCAGATTACGATGTAAGAAGACATCCCGTGCAATGATACATACTGTAAAAAAAAACATTTTTATATTTATAATTAGAAGATATGGTTTTTCTTCAGATCAACACCATCTTATACATTAATTAATCTAATTAACAGCGTACATCAAAGAATGTGAATGCCACGTTATCGTGGATCTGGAAAAGAACTATATCCTCTAATTATAAATATAGTGGTAATTATACAATACATATCATCGCATGGGATGTGTTCTTACACCATGATCGGATCATCAGATTGATACAGTATAGTTAGAAATGTAGTATAATATTGAATGATGCTATATATAGTGTATATTACAATAAAAAGGTTCCTAAATTAAAATTCATATTTGGTTACCAAAATAGACTAACTGTTTACTTATCCACAAATGTAGATTTATTTAGTGTTTAATACTGGAAACTAGAGCTTGTGACACATGATAGACATTCTTACTTGTTTCATAGCAAGAAACATAAATAAATGCAATTCAAATGAATGAACAAATAACATGGAAACCTTACATTTATTCAATGCTATTGAATCACATAAATGAAAAAAGCTGTACCGTACCAATATTTCTAAAATTATATCATAAACTACAGGGTGGCCCAAAAGTCACGCACCAAACAAAAAATTGAATATCTCCATTAAGGCTTGAGCAAACGAGCTGATTTTTTTACCAAGTATGGAGGCATGTTTACACTCCAAATCCATACGAACAAGGCTAGTGGAAACCTTTGTTAAGTATATTGTTTTCTTTTCCTATCTGTGAGAAAGTATCATTTTCTTGTTGAGGTCGATAGTGATATTTAGCAAAGGATCTCCTTAGACATGTCTTTATGGATATAAAGCTTGTACATACCTCTATCACTGATAAAAGAATCAGCTCGTTTGCTCGAGCCTTAATGGAGATATTCAATTTTTTGTTTGGTCCGTGACTTTTGGGCCACCCTGTAGTGTCGATGGTTGACAAACAAACAAATAAAAAGTTTCATATATATACATCGTTCACTTAACTTTTAGTTTATTACTATCTTAGTGGATATATTTATCAAGAAATTAGAAAATTATATACATAGAACCAAGAATTTAAAATAAAGAAATGATTGCCTTATGTAGATAATGTATTTGAGATCATAGTTGGACCAAAAGAGCATACTTGAAAAATATTAGATTGTTTTAGTTAATTATATATGAATATTAAGTTTCCTGTATAGTTAAAACTAATAATAATATGATCCCATATCTCGATGTAAAGATGTAAAAAGTAAGAAATGTATTTGAAACATCAATTTAAAAAAAAATAATTCAATATCATTTAAAATATGAAATGGAACATATATTTAGCTAAGTACAAAAAAATTGAACTTATTAAATTATTAATGGTAACAGCATATAGGATTTGTTCAAATAATGTCTTTTGAACTTGAAGATTAATTATTTGAAAAACGTGTTGATTAAAAATGATTATTCAAAGCAGGCGATAGAAAAGACAATAAAAAGTAGGATATGCAAAGAGTAAAAATAAAAAGTCAACAATCTAATAGAAATAAAAATATTAATTCAAATAATAATAATGAAAGGACAAAAACAGTACTAAGTTATATAGGCCATAAATCTTTTATATTTAGTCGTAAGCTCAGGCGCATCTTTAGATAATTTTTTCATTTGAAGGGCAGAATTCTTTTTAACAAGAACAGAATAATTGACGATAGCTTTAAAGACAAGATCGAATGTGATGTGATTAAAAAGATTGAAGTAGTTTATAAATAAAACAGGATGAGTGTGACAAGATTTATACTGATCAAACAGACAAAGATGTTGAAAAAAGAATAACTCAACATCTAGGTCAATGTAAAGACATGTAATTCTGTAATTTGTAATATTGTCGAGCATATCAGAGCATCTAGACACAATTTTAAATTTACTAAACCATATGATAATAACAAAAGGAGTAGAGTCATCAAAGAGAAACTATTAAGATGTAGAAATTCATTCTGGGCATTACATGAAATTTCATTTCATAAATTCATATATTCAATGGATCTAAATTATCCAATGGACAATATCAATAACTTATTGAACTTCGAACTTAGACTAGTCTATATAATTGTATCCTATTGTATAATCTTCTTTTTTATTGGATCTATGAACATTAGTCGACGCAAAAACTAATCAATACAAAACTTGACAAATGAGAAACATAGTTAAGAAAATGATAATAAAAAAACAACAGCTTTCAGCTGTATGAAAAAAAGAAACAATATCAGTTCATAAATTACCAATACTCATTCTAATTTTGGTCGTAGTAATATGTAAAAGCAGAGTGGACATAGCCATTTTTCAAGCTATTTACTTTTAAGCGACTGAGAAATTGACAATAAATGGGTGAGTGTGAGTGTAACATAGATTTATGTCTGAGTTTGGATGTCGGTGTGGGTCTGCTTAGGCTCTCCATACACTGATACCAACAGCCACACCCTCAAAATACTTGTAGTTAGTTTTAGTTTTCTATTAGAATTAATTTTGAGATAACTTCATAAAAATCTGTGGATCTAAAGATTTTAGTTTTTTTGGAAAACCATTTTAGTTCATATGCTGCATGTATCAGAGAAACATATGCTTCTTTATAGTAATTTGTTATTCGCTAATACGGCCTTCCATCTTTTTTTTCGTATCGGTTTAGCTTATTCTTCTGAGTTGAAACGTCTATTAAAAACAGTTTTTGTTCTTTTATTATAAATTTCTCCATTATTTTACGCATCGCCCAATTTTCATTGGACTGCTTCTCGCTTTCTCATTTAATCAAATCAATAAGTAAACAAGTATTTTGTCTAGAAACGTTCACACTAGCCATTAAAGAATAACAAGCATAATAATTTAATGCAAATTTAATATAATGGTTCAATTTAACTAGGACAACTCTATTCATGTTCTAATTGTTAGTCGCGATGTATTAATAAAGTAATGTTCAAATAAATGTAAATAAAATATGAGTGTAAAAGAAAGTTTACTTGCAAGTGGCGAAGCTACTCAACAGAAATCGTTTTTTTATTTAATTCTTTCTATGTGACTTTATGACCTTTGTCTTTGAAGATATGTCAATTGACGTAAAAGTCAGGTTTCGATGCAATATCTCATTATTATTATCGTAATATCACAGTGCAGAAATAAATTATTAAAGTTATTTTTGTGTTGAGACGTCATAGAAAGCGTGCTTTAATAAACAAGATTTATTAATCGAACAGAAAATATTAGGAAAATTATTAAACTGAATATGATTTTAGAGTTCATCATTTGGATGAAAGTTAGCAGTTTAACAAATTTAAATTCTATGTCACACGTTATTTATCAAACATGTCAGACATATTTTCCTCTTTCTTTATTAACTTTCTTTTTACTCTTTTAGTCATGACCGGTTTTTTTCTGTGCCATCTATTTTCTATCTTTCAATATTAGTATAAGTAGGACTATTTTTTTTTCTCTGCCGTTGAACAAAGCAAAATTATTAAGTGTAAATATATCTTATTCATCGAATATCCACAAGAATATAAGTGTCAGTGAAAATCTAGATGTTGGATGACACGTAAATAAAAGATTTATCAAGATTATTGATGTCTAACACGTTCTTTTTCTATTATTGTCATAACGTAATACATTGTGATAGATAAATAGAGTGGAAAAGCTTCGCACTATTGTATTTAACAATTGTTTTTGGTACTGTCGATTTGAAAACAATATATTCGTCATAAAAAGGAAATTGAGACTTTTTATAATTATTATAGTTCAGCAATGCACAGTAACATGAACAATCCTGATGAACGTAGAGCTGATACCTGTGATCTACCAACATTACCTATGCAACTAATATCACTATCTACATATCCAATACACGGACCACCACCACCTTATGCAATGACACCACCATTAAATCCTCCTTTATATTCACCACCTACAGTTGATATTACAAAGACTTCAGAAGCATATCAAAGTGCTATAGTTCCTGATGATTATATTCATTTGGAAACAGTTCGTATTCGAGATTATATGTCTTGGTCATTGGTCAATGTAATCTTAGGTGCTATGATAGGTCTGATTACTGTAGTATTATCATTAAAAACGAGACAACGAAAAGAAAGTGGAGATATCTTAGGTGCCAGAAGAATGTCAAAAATCACTCTTGTCTGCAACATCTCAATTACTGCCCTATTCTTTTTATTCATAGGATTTTTAATTGTCTATTTCTTGTACATTATGTCATTTCTGAACAACATTGATTAGAAGGATATTATCAATAAGTTATGTAAAAATAATGTTGATATTTGGTTGTTTATTATGATCATATGTATATTATATGTACAAAAACAAAAAAGAAACATTATATTGCTTAATTTTTTGCAATAAATATAATGCTGCAATGTTAACCAGATTTATTTTTATAGACAAAAATATAAATTAATAAAAATATGAACGGACACAAATATAATAATAAGGCTTCTCATAAGTGAAAAAGAATATACAATGTCAATGACTTTTTCCTTTTTCTATTGGGATTAGAGGACAATTGTGTGCTCTAATTAAAACGTAGATAATAAAGAGTAGCTCAACGTACTTTTGATGTTTCTTGATTCTATCCAGAGTAAAGTATTTTAATCTTTTGTCATTGTGATTTGAAAACTATGATCATGGTCGGCGTTTAATACAGAAGAAAAACAATTTGTTTTATTCGATTAACCGTTAAAAATTTACGAAACATACATATTAATAAAAATAGTAAAACTGAGTAGTGATGAACAAGATCAAATACAAGGAAATTTTGTTGTAGAATGAGCCAATAAACATTTACAATCGATCAAGATGATTGTTTTCGTAAAAAGAAAATATTTATAAACGTTATTACTTTAAAATTACAGAGAGTAACGATCAATATTTGATTGTTTTCAGCATATATTAATTCATTTTATTGCATATACTTTACCACCAAATGAATAAGTAAATAGATCCTTTGATAATTATCAAAAAACATCCAAAACAGATGCTTCTCACTGAATTTTTTTCTGTATTGTATACTTTACAATTAATTAAAATCATAATATGGGTCATATTGACTTCATTGTCTTGTAAAATAAAATTATTATACAATCATATATTATGTTAACATTAAAATTTCAGGCTTAATGTTTTTTTTTCTGTAAAAGTATTTTATTCGTAATTGGTGTATTTATTTTATGGAAACTCCAAGTTGAAAAAGATGAATCATCATTGAATAAAGGAATTGAATCGATTCTGTAAGCTTCACTTTTAATAAAAAAAAAAAGTCAAAAATTTGAGGTAAACCCAAGAAGAAAAAACCGTTCTTGAAGTAATACAACGAAAATCTTTTATAGAACTAGTTTATTTGAACATTTTGTTTCCCGTTTGATCATCAATTACACAGGTCCGTATAAAAGATAGTGGCGAAAAATGTGAACTTTTCTACTTTCGAAAGAATATGATTTTTTCTTTCGATTTTCTTGTTCAGATAATAAGAGACGTACAGTCGCTGAATACCATACACAGACAAAATTATGTCGAAAGATGAACTTCTTTTCCATTAGAATATTACTTATTATTCTAAGAAAATGAATGAGAATGAAGACATTCAAACAAAAAAAAAAGAATCAAGTAAATATATATAAATATTCGACAGAGAAACAGTTTAGTATAAATCCTTGTGGAAGTACGTGTTTTTGGTGTTTATAATACAGTAAACAGATTTTTCGAACTATAATTCTGTCTGTGTTGATCCATATATCATAACATGATTACTTCTTCCTCATTCTCTACATATACTACGTGAGTTGTTTTGAAATCGTCATACTGATAAAAAAATATGAATTGATTTTATCCTTCCAACTGAAATATTGTCTAACAAGGAACTATATCTAACTGTCACATCGCTAGAGACTTGGAACATAGTAGATTATATGTCACTTGTAGTGCTAAATTTGAGTATTCACACGATAGCAGCTAATATACACTTTCAGACTCAGTTATGTAGGAAACCATATTTTAAATCGTCAAAAACTTTTCCATCCGAATTAATTTTTTAATATTCTGTCATCTGGTAGAACACTAGTTTTTTCATATTTCACCTAGAGTTATTAACTCAAAAATGAACCTTTTCTAGTCTTTCTTTAGATAGTTGAAAGCAGCTAGGTATTTTTATGGAGAACTTGAATCTATAATCTAGTTGTTCAACAGATAGACTAAAATCAGGATCAATGTAGGTATGATTCTTCTTTCCTTTTTTCCATACTAGACGGACGACAAAGTCAATAAAGGTTTGCTATGAATAATCGTTCTAGGAAAATAATCCAAGAGCAATTTCATATCATTTTTATTCTTTTCGATTGAACATATTGATTAGATATAGAAAATATCTTTTGTAACGCTGTTGTTAATGTGTAGCGATCAAGAAGTTTTCTCTTGTCTCATTGGCAGTAACAGCTGCATTCACTTGTTGATAGTTGTTTTCTACAGCTCTGGATTTTGAGGACAAACTACGTGGCTTTTTGATTTTCTGTCAACTTTAAATTGAAAAAAATCAATCATTTATTCTTTAAATGTACGAATCATCTTTTTTTAGCAACCAAATTCTACTTACACACTTAAATTGTCAGTAAAAATTTAAAACCAAGGCATAAAATGTTCAAAATTAGATCTTTTTTGAATAAGTGATCTCTTTATTTACAATTGATGAAAAAGTCAGTTATTTCTCTCTTGTAAATGTTGTCATTGTCATTCTCCATAATTTGAAAGCGATCATTAAAACCAATTGAGTAGATTTAAAAAATGGTGTTCGAACTAGAAAGGACTTCTCTTTCTCCGATAAAGTTACTTTCAGTTTCAATCGACGTAAAGACTGCTGATTTTACTGATACCGCAGCTCGAATTTCAAATAAAACAAAGCAGGATGGTTTGCTATACGGTACTTCATGTTTAGCAAACACAACCGCTATTTCAATATCGAACGAAGTAGATAGAAAACCATTTGTCGTGATGAAATTAACGATATTTTTTCAAAGAGATTTAATTTTGCCTATTGACACTTTTTGATCACAAAATAGTGTCAGTTTTCCCATGTAAAAAAAATGTAGCCAAAGTAACTTTTTAGTACTTTCAAAAGTGGAAAAGTATGAGAAAATACAATAAAAAGTGAAAAGTAGTAAGAAAAGTTACTTTATTTTACTTTATTAATATTAAAAGTACTTAACAGTGATTTTGATTCACTTTTTCTACATGGGTTGCCCTCGATAGTAGTTTTTATTTTTCAATACATTGCATAAACAGATAAAGCAAAGTCTAGATGAGAGAAGCAATTCCGAATTGTCGGTTCGCAATATTCGATTCAAAAGATGAAAGAGAAAGGAATTGCTCGTATATCATTGAATAGTATCCTCGGCTTGAATGTGGTGCGAAAACGTTCCACCATTATGACGTGATATTTATTATGAAAATAATATTTTCTGCACATGTCAATAAAGTATTCTTTAACGTCATCATCATGTGTCATGCGTTGCAATATATTGAGCAACACCTAGTGAAGAAAAAATACGACTATAGTGGTTATGGATTTGGACAAATCTCTCGTTACTGTTGCCGTTAGTTCAAGCACAGTAAATTGGAATATCTGCTTTTCGGTAATATCCATCTTCTTAGTGATAGGTAATTGTGAATATTTCTGTTTCGTATGAATCTGAACAATTTTTTTATATTGAAAAGATAATAATGTAGAGTCATTGCCGTCTTCAAAAAAAAAAAGTAGTACCTATATCAGTTGTTGACAAGCGTGTATACCGGCCAGAAGAGGTAATACATAAAAAACAAACACTCAAGATAATATACCCATTACTATTTGTGAAATTGATATAACTCAGGCACTGGTCAGCAGCAACAAAGAGGCCAGTCGACTGACTCAGTACAATAAGCATTTCTTTCGAATCTCATACGTTCACTCTTTTATGATTACCTCAATGTCATCGATACACAAGGCATGATACTAAACCACATGAATATTTTCGATGTTTTGACACATTTGGATCAGAGGAAGCAATCTCGAGTTATCATCCTCAGTGACCATCACCATACCTGCTACTTGCTCCATTGTGAGAAATAGTAGTTTGCGGCTCTTCTCTTTTTTGATTCAACATAGTTAGTACGCTGGTCACTGCACAGTTGTCGATGAAAAAGTGATTTGTTATTTTTTCTCAATCCGTGAAAAAGGAATGAACATGTAAAATTCAAAAGCAATTTTTGAAAAGATGGCAGTACCGCAAAGTTAGATAAACGTTAGCATATGAAGCATCGACAAATATATTCACAGAGCTATTCAATTGTAAGAAATACAACGTCCACACTCCATTTTTCTTTTTTCCATAGATTGTCAGTTGCAAAAACAATATCTATGGCAAAGAATCTTACTTGATGGATAGAAATCGATAGTGCCTATAGGACTTATACAATTGCATTACCGACCAATAAGGTCATATTCTATCGCGCTGTCTTTCAGATGACTCACGGCTGTATTTCGAAATCAATAAATATAGACGACAAGATACAATCTTCTCCTATTGGTTAAAAGTTTTCATCTATAACGTCCGTTTTCATCGTGGTCATCTTATTCTCTATCTAGTTACAAAAACTAAAACATTTATTGTGTATGAATCGATACATTTGTTGCACGATTGAACAATATAAGATGACTCTTCGATATAGAATACCTCGTGTTTGATGAAAAAGTGCTGAATAAATTTTCAACATGATTGACTGTTTTTCATAATAATAGTGGCATATCATCTGGCCAAAAGTTTGTTGAAATCTACTCGTGATAATTAAAGAATAGGTATGCGTATGGATGTGAATCAAGTCTTCATTGAATCATTACACCGACACCCATACCGTCGAATATTCCATTTCTACTCCAGGTTCTTCTCAGAAAAATATTCGATTCCTATTCATTGAGCATAATGCAATACTAGGAGTCATCATACTTATTCTATCAAAAGTTCACTAACATATTCAATGGAATTTCATTTTCAAAACATTAGTTAACAACATCGATGAGAGTGGTATTTTATATAAAGCACGGACATCAAACAATAAGCTGTCTTTCACAAACGAATGCCATGTTATTAGAAGAAAGTACGAAAAATAATGCACAAAGATTAAGTTCAACTGTTGAGTCACTGTATTTAAAGTCCCATATCATATGTTTTTCATTCTTCAAGAAAACACTCATGATTGTGATAGGGGTTTTGCTTGAAGACGATCGATAAAAAGCTACAGAAATGGAAAAACAATGAATATATCGAACTGAATAAAGTTAATATGAACCTACTCGTTCTAAAGCTGCAAGAAGTTGATCAATTCTTTCAGAAAATCGATGAACCTGCTCTTCATATTCCAAATGCGTTTGTACATCATGTTCTTCAATGCTAGATTGGCACAAACCTTAATGAGATTGTAAAAACATTATTTCGAATATATTAAATATTTTACACTTACATATCCATCGTTTGAACTTAGACAAAACAAACGCAATCAATTCTTCATTATTGTCATTCGAGTTATCTTCGTGTAAGGCTCTATGAAACGCATCAATGATCAAAGAAACAAACATAGTATAACCGATGAAAACAAGTAAAAATATAAATAGAGCAAATGTAAATGGGCCCAAAAAAGAGTGTGCCGCTTGTAATTCAGCTGTGTTGAATTTGAGTAAAAACGTTTCAAACAACATTTGAGTAGTAAGTAGAAGAGTTGAACATGATTGAACTGCAGCTGTAAAGAGCAAATAAAATAAAGCAATAAAAGCAAATGCAATAATAGAGAATTGTAATGAAAAATATAGAAGATCTTTTGCAGCATATTGAAGAGTACGATTAAAGACTGAGAGACGTCGATTAAAACGAAAAAAACCGATAAGTTTAATCATGGCAAGACAACAACATAAGCCGAGAAGACATGTTAAATAATTATCAACTGAAGCCACCAATTCTAAATTGAGATATTGCATGCCATTTGTCTTATGAAAGAGAATACCAATACGAGACATTTCTCGATAACGCCATATAACTAGAGCAACGCTTGCCCATGAACATCCAATGATACTCCATTCAATATAAGACCAAAATACACGAAAATAGGCTTGTTTTTTTCTTATCAACGATTGAATCTCCGTAAGAGTCAAATAGATAATAAGAACAAGATATATTGTAGCACAAATCAAATGAAATACGGATGAAAAACCTTTTAGATTATTGTGAAACCGAAATGGATCAAAACGAGAACTTGAAATTAAACCACTGGTAACTAGAAATTCGACAGTTATTATTGCCGATGTAAAGAGCTCTGCATTTGGATTGTACAAACTAAATTGAATAAAAATAGCACGTGTCAATCGATCAATCCATGATAGTTGTTGGAGAACAGTAAGATTCTTTTTTATATCATTTAAACGACCACGAAATTCATAGATATATCCTCCACCATCGTAAAAGGCATGATCAGTCATGTGACTATAAGAATCGATTTCATTACTTGATCGATACTTAAATGCATTTTCAATTGATTGACTGTAGGAAATATTGCTCGCGTTTAATGTCCAACCCGGTTGAAACAAACGTCTATCTGCTGTCCAAATCTTATAATCACTTGAACACCATCGGACAGTACCACGAAACATGTCAGGTATTCGACAATCATATTCTAATCAAACCTCACCTATATAGTGAATAAATCAGTCAAAGACAAACCTGGTCTAACACGCAATTGACGCATTACTACCCATCCAATTAATCGATTGTTTTTATCGTTAATAAAACCATTCAAATTCCTTGGTGGATCGCCATTGTACCATTGTTGTGCTCGAATATTGGAAACAAAACTATTTTGTAACCATTGCCAATAATCAGCGACAGTGGATACCTAATGAAAATTGCTTATTTTCATCGGAAAAATGATTAACAATGAGTCTACTGAGAAGTGTATCATGTCCCTTGTGAAAAAAATCATGTTTTCAATATGCTTAGTTCAGATAGTCTTTGATAATTTTCTTGTTTCGATTGATTTGAATATCATTAATGCTTTTCACTAATTTTTCTGTCATCGACCCGAAGCTCGTCAATTGTAATAGTGCTTTATCTGCATGGAAATTTAAAATCGATAGGGTGAAAATTCGAACCTACTTCTCTCGGGGAAACATCAAATTTGTCGAATACAAAAAATGTCGATCGCAAATTTGTCGATAAAATTTGTCGAAAAAAAATTTGTCGATTCGACAAAATTGAAATCCAAATTTGTCGAATTCGACAAATTTTATTAAAAAATGTCGATTATTGTATTATAACGTTCCTTTCTATGAATTTCAAATTCAATTATGACCACCTAAAATCTAACTTGAAATCAAGTTGAAATCAACTTGGGATCAACTTGGAATCAACTTGGAATCAAGTTGGAATTCACTTGGAGGGTGGGTGTGGGTGTGGGGTGGGTATGGATGTGTGGGTGTAGGCAAGGGGGGAAGTGCAGACACCCAGCACCTACACCACGTATACCGTATTCCACTGTGAGCACCTACGGCACTTTCAGCATCTTCAACAACTATTCTATTGTCTTAAGTACTTAAGATAATGAAACAATGGTTCCAGGTGCTGAAGGTGTCGTAGGTGCTCATAGTGAAATGCGGTATAGGTGCCGAACAGGTGCTGTAGGTGCTGGCAGGTGCTAATAGGTGCTGTAGGTGCTGAGCAGGTACTGGGTGCTAGGCGTCTGCACTTACCCCCTTGGTGTAGGTGTGGGTATGGGAGTGGGTGTGAGTTTAGAATAAAAATCAAATAGCACCCACACCCACACTCTTCGATAAACTTAACTCCAACATAATTTAAACATGATTTCAAGTTGATTTCAACTTGATTTCAACTTGATTTCAACTTGATTTCAACTTGATTTCAAGTTAGATTTTAGGTGGTCATAATTGAATTTGAAATTCATAGAAAGGAATGTTATAATACAATAATCGACATTTTTTAAAAAAATTTGTCGAATTCGACAAATTTGGATTCCAATTTTGTCGAATCGACAAATTTTTTTTCGACAAATTTTATCGACAAATTTGCGATCGACATTTTTTGTATTCGACAAAATTGTAGGCACTCCTTCTCTCGCCCCATAGGCTGTGAGTTATGCTATTGATTTGCAATCAAAGATAGTATTTCAAAATGTCTCGTTACTACTTTTATATTACACTTCTGGAAGATAAAATAAAAACAGAGTGAAGAAATATGTTTCAAGATATATAGAATAAAATGATCTCTCTGTGATTAGCAGCAAGAGCCACCTCGTGTTTCACATTTTGATTTCACAGGCATTACATAAACAGCTTTTTTCTCAACCACAATAAGTATTATTCGACATTGTCTAGTTACTATATCGAATAAAAACCAGATGATTGAATTTTTTCATGGTTTCTACATTGTCTTGGCTATTCGAGATGTAGTAGACAAATGTATTCGCTGCATTTTTCCTTTTGAATGAGTTGAATCTTCAAATTCTACCTAATCACTATTTTGTTTCTTATGTTTCCATTATAATCATCTTATTGCAAAAGCATGTGGTATCATATGATCTCTTCTAGGACAATCATTGACATGATGTGATTGATTGGTGTTAGAATCAGTGATGAAAATATCTTTCGTCGTTTTCATTGATGGAAAGTCTATATGTTTTCAATATTCGATTGTAGCTAGTTAAGAAACAATTTTGAAAATTGAACATATACACTTACTTTAGTATAGTCATAGGTTCCATGACCAATATTGAGAAAGTAGTAGCGCATATGCTTAGCTTGAGCAAAACAATTCGAATCTCGATTAAGATAAGTGACAACAAAAAGAATAAAAATAAAAAAGATTTGATAGGTTAGTTGTCGAGTCAATTTCCACATGGCAATGTCACGAAGACGAATAGTGCGCGCGCGGTTTCTTTGAGCTTCATTCAATCTATTGACTTGAGTACGTCGTGAAACATCGAACGAATCGCGTTCCTTTCAACAATAGAAATAAACAAATAGTCACTAATTGAAAAATCGAACAGACCTTGACTGTATGATGTGTATATTCTCCTTCTGTTTTAGCACGATTCAAATAGATGCTTTCATCCTTGTCAATATAACCAGCAGCTTCTTGATCATCATCTATTGATTTTCGACTACAGAAAGCAAAGAAAGCTACTAGACAAACAATTTTGATCGGTTGAGAGAGGAGAATCGATGAGAAGAAGCCAGTGACAAGTGATGTTAACCATTGTTGAGTTTTAATATCACCAAATTGAATACCACGTGCGATGATGAAAAAAGCACACATAAAAACGAAAAGAAATGATGCAATATAGGCAATGATCAAACACCACCATGGAAACATATATTTCTTTTTCTTCTTCATCTTAGCCAATGCTTCAATCATATTAGTCAGAGAAATCCTACGATCGATCATGCCAATGTTCCATAATGTTTGTAGAACAGGTGAAAGTTGCCCATGTAGACCACGCGGGCGAATACGTCGAAAAAATTGCACAAACAATAGACTCGGAACAAAACACAAAATATCGACAATAAATCCGATCACGATCTATTCAAACAACAAAAAGCCAAATTAAATGAATGGATGCATGCAATTTATTATGTGATGAACCTGTTCTCGTGTGATGTACAATGGACCAAGATGAAAACCACCAGATATGGTATTTTTTGCTTGCTGAGCTTGATCGTAATAGAGAATTCCCAGCAGCATAGCTGTAAAGAGTAGAAGAAAGCAACAAGTGCATCGTTGCACTCGAGTAAAATGGCTGGCTGGTGGTCGACTAAAGATTGAAAACCACAAATGTTCATCGGACATATTATAATAGGCTTTCTTAGCAAAAATATATGCTATATCATGTGTTTGTAGTTCACCAGCTGTCGGTAAGTAACGTTCAATCTGTAAGGAAACAAAACATGCAGCACCTTCTTCGAACAGCAATCAAATAATATTCTTACCATTCCATCATCTTTATCAATTGCTAACCAATTTTGACAAATAAAATAGGTCTTTTCCATGGTTTGTAGATTACATACAATGACATATTTCAGAAACCATGATGCAGATCGGCCTTGACTAGAATTATCATGCCAGATGTGAATATATTGTAGAGCACCAAGAGATCTAAAATGATTAAATAGAAAAATTTGAATATCTAATTAATCATTTACGAAGGCACAGCGATGATGAATGAATCAACAAAACCACGTTGTAAAATTTCTCGATTTGGATCGATCAATGTTCGAGTACCTGTCTCGTCCTCGGCACCTACTAGATTGAATTGAACCTAAATTTAAAACATTCAACTATTCTAGAAGAGAATACTCTTATGATTAATCACTTTTGATTTCGTTCCGGCACCCGTTCGAGCACCCGTAAAGAATATAAGCTGATATAAATATTTTCCACTTGAATTGTTGTCATGAAGAAAAGTGACTGCTAGCTAGAAGAAGAATTCATGAACAAGATAAGAAGAATGGTGAAAGAAATCGACAGACCTTATTGATATCTTTCTGATCTCTACGACGAGCGTAAATTACTAAGATAATATAGGAAACTATGAGAATAATTATTGTCAAATAAATAGTCTTGTTCTTCATGAAGTCTGCATTGGCAAACACATAACTCCAATTGACTGGCTCTGGAAGAATAAGAAAACCACCGGCAAATATTGAAAGATGACTGGAAAAACATTGAGTCTCAAAATGATTGGTCAATGGTCCAACCTTGACCGAAACAAACGACATTTATTCGATTTTGTTTCAAAAGCAATAAGCAACTTACATTTAAACCATCCGATTGCCATTGATCATTTGAGTCGCGATAGTAGCAACCCGATATGAATATACGCAGTGAATAATTAGCTGTGAAATTGTAAGGTTGATCTGTGATGGGCGGTAAATTTAATGTTTCATTGAAACAATACATATCAAATTCAGTTTGATTCAATTCTCGCACTCCGAAGATAACCGATTGATGATTTGACATTTGTTGATTGTCAATGAAAGTGATCCATAGACCTTCATTGTTCAAATCTATGAATGAAAAACAATCATAGATTAAATCGATTCGATTACAGTACAAAAGAAAAGTTTAGAGGACGTCACAATGACTATTTGTTTGGTTGTAAATATTCAGACTTACTTGATGGACAGAATAAGAACCAACCATCAGTTTGATTTATGGACGAATTCAGTTGTGGAACCGTATCGAATCGATAGATAATCATATAGCCTCGAGTTTGATCATCTGGTAACATTTCAAAATGAACTGATTTCGATATATTCGAAGTCGGCAAAGTTGCATTGATGAAATGTAAATTGAATTGTTGATTATTAGTTAGATTACCGGATGATGATGCCGATGCAATATTCTGAAGTGCCATTGGTGGAACAGACAGATTCGGATCACGAGGAATGATCAGTTCTATGGTGTTGTTTATCGTTTGGATCGAAATCTCCTGTCCAAAATTATTGATTAATGTCACCGATAATGATCGAGACATGTTGGTTATTGATACCCATTTGTGACTTGCTGCCGCCAGTGGTATCAGAATAAACTAGAATTAAGGTCTTTGTTTTACAATAGTGTTTATTGAACATGACTGAAATATTACCCGATAGAAAACTGATGTATTGCCATCCTCTTCGATGTTCATTCGTGGAGGAAGTCGAACTCGCGTATTATGATTAAGATTAATAATCTTATTCGAAAGTGTATTAAAAGTAAGCCTTTCTAATGAAAAGATCACTGATGATGCATTCACTATTGTCGATTGACCAATATTCAAGTGTAGCAAAAGTGCCTTGGTTGTTATCGAGAAAGTTTGCTCCGTTTGACTATTAATAGTTTTTGCCTGAATAAATCAATAGTGCAAAAGAAATTAAAACAATCAAAATTCATCAGCTAGCTACCGCCTGTTGTTGATAGTATATGTTGCGATTTTTTTCAATAGTTGCCCATGAAAAATCGTTACCCTCGGCGAATAGATCTTTAGAGGTGAAAAGATAAAAAGAAAAAGGAGATGATGATGAATACTAGAAAACAAAATAGGAAACTTTACTGAAATTCGACCATGATAATTCAAGATCAGTATCATAATCAACTGGCAATATATTAGCTCGTTTTCGATCAATATCAAGAACGATACCACGTTCGTTTAATACTAGATTGATTGCCTAGAAGAATTCACACCATCAAAAAAAAGAATAAATCGACTAGATAGAACTCACCTGGAATGTATTGCTAGCACATCGATGAATTGAATCAACAACTAATTTGATATTATCATAGTCTGTTGTTGAAGCTATATTGTGTAGTTTATTTGCCAGTTCATTACATCGCGTGGATGCCAAGAGCTACATAATATTGAATTTAGTACAAGAATGTCAAATAAAGCAAAAAAAGAAAAACTTCGTACAGCTGTATCTCGTGTCAACTGAGATGTTATCTCAGTTAGTTGAGCTAACATCGAACTTTGTAAAATAATACTGTCGATAGTTGTTATCATGAGATTCGTGACGAAACTGATTAGATAATCGCGAACTTCTGCAAGATGATTCCATTGTTGACTGTATTCGACCATAGTAGATATATTGACTGTAGAGGATGATGGAACTTGCCGCTCATCATTTAATGATGTAACAGAGATTGTCACTGCAGATATATTGCCTAGCAAACAATATAAAAGTGCATGTTATTTACGGATAGAGTTCTGAAAAAGGGCACAATTAGAATTTTTGTAGTTTCAATTGACTTTAAAATCGAGAGAGATAAATGTTTAGAGAAGAAAATCCGAATATTTTGTCTCAAATCACATGATGTTTAAACTCATATAAATTTCCAATTGAACCCATGTTTATTATCTATCGAACTTTTTGAACAAAACTCTAAAATCATACCTGCAACGGCCGTTTGAAAAATCTTTAAGCTCATGGCATTCAGGGCTTGTACTTGTGCAATGAGTACTTGACTAACTCGATTTTGATTTCCACCAGCAAGCATTATAACTATTGGATTACTGTTGAGTTGAGTATTATTGACTAAATTTATTGGGATCGTAACGACATCATTGATCAAATTGTTCGTTGTTGCCATATCGAAGACAATAGAAACGGTAGGTAGATCGATTTCAGTCATGCATCCATACATATCTCGAATACGTGCAATGACATGAATCATTGTTTTATCGTTTCCATTGGCTGGCAATAGTACTTGAATAGTAGGAATAATCGTATATCCAAGAATAGCAAATGCCGATGAATTCGTTGTCCATGCTAGTATAAATAACAACATGATGAATTTGGGATTACAATCGATAGACTTACTGTAAAATGAATAGTCTCGGACACCGTTGGCATCGATCCAATTTTCACAGATGATCGTAAATAATGTAGTTGTTGTTCCATTATGAGGACTAATTGAACATGTACCATTTTCTGGTGGTGAATTGATCATAAAATCAATTGCTCCAATGCCATGGATCGAATCCATTGAATAAATCACTTCAAAACGCCAATATTTCACACTTGGATAATTTATGAATAGATCTTTGGTTGCCGTAAAATTTTCCGAATCGATTCCTAAATATTTTTTTGAGTTGTCTACTATTGAGGACTTCATAAAAACATGAGATATCACCTACCGAAGAACCAGTTATAGGCATATGTTCTAATATTGGGAAGAAGTGTCCATTGCATTGTTGTATTCATTGAACCTTGATAGATATTCCAGGTGATCAGACCATTGAAAGATTGATTTACCTCTGAATTCAACCAGAGTGAAGTTAATGCTAATTGTGTAGTCGGATTGATCAAATGATATTCATCAACCAGTAGACATATTTCGGAGATTACACAACTGTTCGTTTTATAGAAAATTTATTTTCATTTAGTGATAGAATTCGATCATACCTGATTGAAATGATCATTGAATCATTTTCTTCTACTTTGACAAGTACATATCCTGTAAAGATACGCGATGCATTTAATGCATTGATCAAATCTGCTCGGAATTGATAGGTTTGATTTATTTGCAACAATCCTGGCTGAATGATCAATGAAGATCGTATGCCATTTGAACCATAGTAGCATTCTAAGTTATGAATTTCATCAAATCGATAAAAGGATAAATGAAGGATATAGATTACCTGATCGATTACCAAAACAGAATGGACTGTCGATGGGCATAAAATTCAATTGAGAGCCGATTCGGCAATAGTAACTATAATTCCAATTCTGTATGAATGATAAGAAAACATCAAAAATAAGAAACTTATAATACATTGAGATATGACTCACATTGGCATCAAAGATAACTTCATCTGGATCGATCGAAAACGAGCCTGGATCAAGTATCAATGTCTGATTTCGACCGATACTAATCATCGATGAACCGAATCGAATGAGATTGACTGTGATTGGTGAAGGAATAATACTGATGTACGTGACTTCCGATGAGGTCAGTTGAGGTAAGACTTGCATGGTCACTGTAAGTTTTACCATATAGATGCCGTAATGTAATGATCTTGATGGAAGAAAAAGTTCGCTGAGTGTCATGATTGCCACAGATGGATCTATTTCGATTTGAAAAGAGCACAGTGGTCGACATGCATAAATTGTCCATTGTATACGAGTTAAGAGTGATTTGGGACAATTGAGCTGAATAATTGAACTGATTGATAATGATTGACTACGTTGATTGTACCAAGGCATACAAGATTGTGGATTACTGGGCGTCAAAGTGATGATAGGTGATGAGCAACCTAAGAGGAGAATTAGAATCGCGAGATATTTACAACAACAATTCTACCTTCAATGATGAATGAAGTCATGGAAGTGGCAGTTGATATTTCCAACATGGATAATGCAATTGTCGATGGTGTCATAACGGATGATGCCACTGTCGATGGCACTGCGGTGCACGGTGCAATTGTCCACAGTGCTGCGGTGGATGCTGCCATTGTCAATAATCTCGCCGTGGATGATGTCATTGTCGATGGTGCTATGGTAGATGTTGCTATTGTCGATGGCACCGCCGTGGATGATCCGATTGTCGATGATACCTTGGTGGATGTTGCCATTCTCGATAGCATTGCTGTGGATAGTGCTATTGTGGATGGTACCGTCGTAAATGATGTCGTAGTGGATAAGGCCATTGTCGATAGCATCGCTGTGGATGATGCCATAGTGGATGTTGCCATTGTTGATGGTGCCATTGTTGATAGTGCCATAGTGGATGTTGCCATTGTTGATGGTGCCATAGTGGATGTT